CTCCACCTCGGCCGCCCGGCTGCTCAAGAGCGAAGCATGATAGAGAGATAGAGAGAGACGGAGATAGAGATAGAGAGAGAAAGAGAGAGAGAGAGAGAGAGAGAGAGAGAGAGAGAAAGAGAGAGAGTGTGTGTGTGTGTGTGTGTGTCCATGCTGCTTTATAGACCACAGTGTGGGGCACCTAGAGCTGCTGCCCACCTGTACAGTAGGTTAGTTGTTAAACATCCTTGTGAGTTATTTACTTTTTTGTAAATAAACAACCTCTCAACCAGGAACTGTCCCATGTGACCTAAAAGGTCTCGACTGAAGTGAAGACAACTTGAAGGACGTGTTGCTTTGGTCTGAGTGGACATGGTGGCGACCCAGCTTGTTCTTGGGCTGTGTTTCCGGGGAAGGAAGCTGAGGGGCTTCTCGTGCAGACTGACCCGCTCTCTTACAGCTTCCTGCAGAACAGCCCATGGAGCATCATAGCTCAGGTTCTACTGCTGTACCTGGTGTCTGGAACGGGAATGGTGACAGCTGGGATGGTCATGGACGGTGCCAGCATGGAAAAGTAGATCATTTTTCCTCTAATGTGTTTGTGTGCGCACGTGTGGGTTTCTGTGTGTGTGCATGCATGGGCATGTATTGGTGTGAGAGTGGGTGTGCATGTGCATGGGTGTGCGTGTATGTACATGTGTGTGTGCTCTGGTGTGTGAGTGCATGCATGTGCATTTGTCTGTGTGAGTATGTGCACGTGCTTGCATACATGCATGTGTGTGCTCTGGCATGTGCGTGCGTGCATGTGCGTTTGTGCGCACGAGTGTGAGAGTGTGCACGTGTGTGCATGCATGTGTGTGTGTGCTCTGGCATGTGCGTGCATGTGCGTTTGTGCGCATGAGTGTGAGTGTGCACGTGCGTGCATGTGCGTGTGTGCTCTGGCGTGTGTGTGCGTGCATGTGCGTTTGTGCGCATGAGTGTGAGTGTGTGCACGTGTGTGCTCTGGCATGTGCGTGTGTGCTCTGGCATGTGCGTGCGTGCATGTGGGTCTGTTGGTCTTAGAAACAAACTGAGCTGACAGGCGCTGACGCTGCAGTCTGGTTCCTGCATGGTTTAGATCATGAAAACAGCTGATTTGTTTTTTAAGTGATGAATCCCTCCTGTAGACACTAATGAAGGCTGGGGAGACATTTCAGATGTTAGATTGATGTGTTAAAAAGACAAGCGCAGAGCAAGAAGATAAGTTTTGCTTTTGGTTCTACTTTATTTATTTATTTTCCCCGTGTCCTGTCTGGCTGTGAAGCAAACAGAATTAATATCTGAATGCTGGTAACAAGCCTTACAGATTTTCTCTCAGGTGGAGCATCAAAGCATCTGCTTTTAATGTCACGCCTGATACTTAAAACTTCATTGTTATTGTTTTTTGAATGCTTTTTAATTCCGACCAGACACGGAGACAGAGGTGAAAGAGAAAGGAAAAGACAACATGAACAAGAGTCTGCTTCTAGACCTGCAGAAAAGGGACACACAACAATACAACAGGAGCAAGCTATCACTGCGTCAACCTGATGAGGAAATATATAATCAACATTGTTTTACTGAACAATCACACGATAATAAATCACAGTGCATTTAGTGCCAACCACAGCCTTAAGACATGTGTTGAACGTGCCCAAGTCCATACTTATGAGAGCACCATGTGAGCACCTGTGTGTGTAATAGGGTTGTCACGGTATGAAAATTTAACCTCACGGTTATTGTGACCAAAATTATCACGGTTTTCGGTATTATCGCGGTATTTTTTAAACGGTGTTGCATATGTTCAGAAAGCATTGATAGTCCTGTTCTACACAAACTGAAATAGTTCTGAAAAGGTTTAACAGTGTTTATTAAACCTAAAATAACACAAAGCCTTAGCAAAAGTGCAACTTTTCACAAGTAAAGGAACAAATAGCTTCTTTTTCTGGAACATGTTACAGTAGTCAGTGCAGGTTTAAATTATACAAATCCAAACATTCAAAACATAAACAGTATGTAAACAAATCAAAGAAACACCACTTGTTTTCTCATATACTTGTTTTCTTCATTATCAAAATGAAAATCTAAAACTCCAGTCCACACTTGACTTGAGCACTGTACAAGTCAACCTTAAAAAATATGTATTTAAAATAAATAGCCACTTTAAACAAATTACTAAAATAACTACTACACTATGTAATCAAATCCAAATGTCCAAGTATAAATGGCATTGAATAAGTAAACAAATCAATGACAAGGAACTAATTGTATATTTCTCTTCACCATCAACAAATAAGATGCTTCATCCAGCAACAGGGTGTCCGTGACACGGTTTAAATGCTGGCAGAGGGCGCTGCGGCTGCAGTATATAGTGACTCGTTGCATTCTCCCTCAACCAAAAGTCCTCACGTCATGCATTTAAGCTAAAATGCTAATGTTAACTTACCTTGCACTGGCTGTAGAGACGTGGGTGATGGTCACGCAGATGTGCCATTAGATTCGAAGTGTTGCTGCCTTTTGCAGACACTTGTTTCCTGCACGTTCTGCAAACAGGATAGCAGTCCTCTATTAACTGTCCCTCAGCATTTTTCAGAAATCCAAAATATGCCCATACTTCCAAAATAGTCTTCTTTGAGGGCTGATGGATGTCCTGGGCGCTGCCGTCTCCTCCTTCGGCCATTATTTCAGCTTCAAAGTTTTGGTGCCGTTGCAAACTAAAAAGTGCGTGTGCGCGCCGCGGGATCTTCAGCTGAAGCGACGGTGGCTGGTAAGGGTCACCGCGCCGAAACCGCGGCCACGGTAAACCCACCGAGATAATTTAGTTTTTTAAAAACTGGACGGTTATTTTTATTGTCAACTTTTTTACCGGGGTTTACCGCTATACCGGTTACCGTGACAACCCTAGTGTGTACACATGCTTGTATATGTAAGGTATGTAAGGCTTTTGGTTCTACAAAACGGACACTAGGAGGTGCTAAAAGCAACTAAAACTGCCTAGTCTCCCTTTAATAGATTCAACAAGCTGTTTTAAATGAGCTGTATTCATAAAGCATCTCCTAGGGTTCTAGCCCACTAAGTAACCCCACAACTAACCAGTCATTCACACGCTGGTGGTGATGAGCTACAGTCAGGGTTCGAATTACGAGGGAGCTAAGGGGAGCCCGGCTCACACTAAAAGGTGACAGGCTCCCCTGGAAATCCTCAACACTCAGGGGGAGCCCGAAAAAAGATCCTGGTTCTACTTATATTACATTATTAATGTGGACTCTCTGGGGATTCTTTTGAGTGGAAAGGACGCACAGAGCTGACCGTTGTTGTGCTCCAGAAAGCTACGTCCTGCTCACAGCCACAGTAACCTTCTCAAAGTGTTGCCATGCAGCCAAATAATTCAATTAACACACGGCCGTTAATGTCAGCTCACATCCTCTTGTGCTTGTTGTATTTTGTGCCTGATGCGTTTCGGGCGTTTCGGGGACCAGGGCAAGATGAAAGCCCAGTCAGCCCCTCCAACCTGCAACCTTCCAGTTACATGACTGGCACTCAACTCCTCCGTCACTGCTGCAGTTGTAAACATTACTCAGAGGTTCTGGTCCATCCTATAATGACACCAAAACATGGCTTCATCCATGATGAGAACCTCCCATTCAGTCACATCTCAAAGGTTCTGGACTGAGATCTGGTGACTGTAGAATCCGTTGGGAGTCCAGTGAACTCATCAATACTAGACACAAGCTAGAGATCATCTGAGCTTTGTGACATGGTGCATGATCCTGCTGGGAGAAGCTGTCAGAAGATGGGCTCATGTGGGATGAACATGATCAGCAAGTATAGTCAGGCTGGCTGTGGGGTTTAAATTAGGCTCAGATGGGACTGAGGGGTCCAAAGTAGGACAAGAACATCTCCCCGACACCATTACAATAAGCACAGATAAAAGTCAGGATGGATTTCTGCGTTCATGTTGGTGAGACCAGACTCTGACCCGACCATTTGAACGTCACAGCTGAACTCCAAACTTATCAGACCAGGAAATGTTTTCCAGTCTATTTTGGTCCTGTTCTGGTGATCTTGCGAGGATTGTAGCCTCAGTTTTCCTGTTCTTAGCTGACAGGAGAGTCTTCTGTTGCTGGAGTCCATCTGCTTCAAGGTTCGTCATGTTGTGGTTCAGAGATGCGGTTCTACAGACCTTGGTAGGGACCAGTGGGTGTTAGAGCTGCTGTTGTCTTTCTATCATCTAGAGCAGGGATGCCCAGTCCTGGTCCTGGGGGGCCGGGATTCAGTTTGTTTTAATTGTAATCCTGCTTCTACACGCCTGATTTTTATCAGTTTGCTTCTCACACCAAACCTTCCATCAGGAATCTTGGCGTGACCTTTGACCCAGGTCTCACCCTGGATTCTCATGTCAGTTCTCTTGTTCGCTCTTCCTTCTTCCATCTCAGGAACATTGCTAAGCTGAGTCCCATTCTGTCCCGCTCTGAACTTGAGACAGTTATCCACACCTTCATCTCCTCACGCTTAGACTACTGTAACTCTCTTTTCACGTGTCTGAGCAGAATTCAATTCAATTCAAGTTTATTTATAAAGCACCAAATCATGACAAGCGTCGTCTCAAGGCACTTCACATAATAAACATTCCAATACAGGTCAGTTCATTAAGCCAATCAGAAAAAAGTTTCCTATATAAGGAACCCAGCAGGTTGCATTGAGTCACTGACTAGTGTCAGAGTCTTTACAGCAATCCTCATACTAAGCAAGCATTTTTAGCGACAGTGGAGAGTAAAACTCCCTTTTAACAGGAAGAAACCTCCAGAGGATCCTGGCTCAGTATAAGCAGCCATCCTCCATGACTCACTGGGGATGGAGAAGACAGAGCAGACACACACACACACACACACACACACACACACACACACACACACACACACACACACACACACACGCACGCATACACACACACACACACACACACACGCGCACGCACGCACGCACGCACACACACACACACA